CAGTTTTACAACCCTGAAATATTTTTGTATATTTTTAAGTCTGTCAATTCACACTACTAATTGCATTGCCCATGGATGATGATGTCATGCTTTCACATAATACTGCCTGGATACTAGCCTTTGTAATGCTGTTGGTTGCATAATTAACACAAATAGTTGTAGTACACTGTTAACCCAGAATAATATACTCTTCACCTGTGGGTATTGCTGTTTATCTTGGAGTGCTGTGTTCCCTAATACACTCACAAATTATTTATTTGTTAATGTTCCATTGTTGTTATTGAATGTAAATTTTCCTTTATTATGATTATGAATTTTAATAAATGTTTTATTTTTTATTTATTATGTTTATAATCCTACTCCTACTTATCATTATTATATAATTGGTAGTAACATTATCATCATCATCATTATCATCTTTTAACTGTCATCATTAAAAATGCTAGTTGTCATTAAATCAACTAAATTACCACACACACATCGCTAGCCCTGAATCATTATTAATCATCATCATCTTCATTATCATCATCATCATCATCATCAATCATCTTATCGTCATCTTCATTATCATCATCAATCATCATTATCGTCATCTTCATCTTTGTCATCATTATCATCATCATCAATTTCATCATTATCAGCATTATTATCATCTTCATCATCATCGTTGTAATCATCATTATTGATAATATTAAAATTAAAATCTTCTTAAAATTATTAGACCTAAAATATAGATACTGTTTATATATTATTATCATAATCATAATCATAATCCAAATGATAATTACCAGTATCAGTATCACAAGATATAAGATCATCTTTTTTAATAATCAGCATATTAATCATCAACTATTTCACAATTTTTATAAGGTTCATATACTTAATAGCCTAAGACAGAGAGAGCCAAGGGAAACTATTATATATTATATTTTTATCTATGATAAAGTATCCTGCCAATGTTGTGTAAGCAGGAGGTATGGTGTAAGCGACCTTTAGATGTAGGCTCCAATTTCAGAAGGACTTCGCACCTTCGTTACTGACGGTATTGATGTCACAGCACAGTCATAATGTAGGCTACTTCTAGTTACTGAAAACAATTTACGACCATTTGTTAGAGGATTATTATTATTTATGTCATCAAACGTTGCTGTAATGGTCGTTCCCTGAAAAGTTCTGAGTTTATCTGGAATTTTAATAAACTTAATCAACATTGTTGCATAGTACATTCTGTTTTCACCTGTGTTGATATATTTTACGGTTTCAGATGAAATTGATTTCATTTGGAGTGTAACTTTAAAAATAATAGCTGTGGTTTACTGGTATGAAAATTTGCAGTTTTCCACAGAGTGACCTTTGTGTCCAAGTATTGAATTATTAATAACTTTACTATATTATGCTTTGTAATATATATGCAGCTGTTGACAAATCCAGAATTTTTAAAATTCAAATACAAACAAAAATTGTTTGGATGGTAATCATCAATATCATATTCTCACAAATGTTAAAAAAAAAATGCTAAGTTGTGACTGTACTTTGCATTGTTTTTGTAAGTAAAGTAATTTATAGGGCATTTTTTTGGTTACGGATTGCTCGGATAAAGTCATTATAACTGTTTATTTCTTTGAGGGTCCCAACATGTCATGCCGAAGGGCTAAGGTGGATCAGAACACCAGGGTTTACGTTTACGTAGGTACATCCTGCCTACAGTAATAGTCCGTAAGCACAGTGTAACTGAGAGAGTGCATAAAGACAAGCACTCACTGCCTCATATGATGCTCCCTATGAGCACTAGACAGTGCGTGGCCATCTGTTGATAGTCAGTGGCAGTCTGAACAGATCGTCATTATAAATGATCCATTGTCGGTGCTTCATGTGCATTCTCCACAGAATCGCATCGGTCAACGACCATCAGACGAATGTTTAAAGTTCTTTATTGAGAAGGCTTGGTTTATAGCTACTGAAGCCCTGAGCGGGAAGATGGATCAAACCAGTGATGATAGTCTCAGTGCTTATAGTCTGCTGTCGGTGCTGATAGTGTGCTGTCGGTGTTGATAGTCTGCTGTCGGTTCTGGTAGTCTGAGTGGGATACTGATAAAATTATTATTTGAATTATTAATTATTATTGAATTATCTGCTGTCAGTGTTGATAGACTGCTGTTGTGTTAAAAGTCTGCTGTCAGTGCTAATAGTCTGAGTGGGATGCTGATAGGCTATGTTCTCACACGGCAGCTAACGGTTAGCAGGATCCCGATCCTGCTAACCGTTAGCTGCCGTGCATCCATACGAGAAGACCCCGATCTGGATACCAAGAATATGATGATTGAATCACTGGCCAATAAGAAACTGGAAATTGTAAACGCGTACGTGTGATTGGTTGATAGAAACGCGCTCACTTGCTAACCGATAGCGCTTGCTAACCGTTTGCGGTATCCGGATACCACTAACGGTTAGCGCTAACCGATCGGGCATTCTCACACAGGTGCTAATGGTTAGTGCTAACGGTTACCTCCCGATCCGGATACAGGGCTCTCGTGAGAACCAGGCTTAAATCTGCCATCAGTTTTGATAGCTCGCTGTCAGTTCTCTAGTCTGCTGTTAGTTCTGAAAGTCTACTGTCAGTTCTACAGTCTGCTGTTGGTGCTGATAGTCGGCTGTCGCTGCTAATAGTTTGCTGTCTGTGCTGATAGTCTGAGTTGGGTGCTGATAATCTGCCGTCAGTGCTGATACTGTAATCTGCCGTCAGTGTTGATAATCTGCTGTCAGTTCTGATAGTCTGCTGTTGGTTCTGACAGTGGCATTTGTGCAGATAGTCTGCTGTCAGTGCTGATAGTCTGCTGTCAGTGCTGATAGTATGCTGTCAGTGCTGAAAATCTGTTGTCGGTGCCGATAGTCTGCTCTAGTTGCATAATTTATCACCAGGTATAACTAAATTGGTATCCTCTTATAATCAGTGGTATTGCGCCAAAGTGGGGAACCCAGTGGCTTCATAAGATTGGGGCTCTTGCAGATGCTGTGGCTGCTTCAACACAAGGTTCTGTGGACGGGGTCCAGATGCCAAAGCCTTGCCATACGAGAGTGCATGGTCTTGCCTGATTATGGAAAGCCCAACACTGAAAAAACTTAACTTAAGCCTGGTTTCCTAACTCTACACTGTCACTACAGTGTTTTCAGTGCAGTAGTTGTACTGCTTAGCAATCCCCAGAAATCAGGAATGCTCCCCGATTTGACCGAACCAATCAGCATCACCGAAAACTGCCGGCAGTATAGTGTAGTGGTTGTATGGAAACCAAGTTTAATACCAATAACAGTTATCTTAACATGAACCAGTGTTTCAATGTCTATGGTTGCATTTAATACACTGATATTCAATTTTACATAGGCCTACATCAGCCTATACATGTATACAGTACATTTATTTCATGTTCACATACAGATTGAACAAACAATACACTACAAACTCATAACCTAAACACCCATGAGATAAAGAATGATAAAACACTGATAAAAGATAAATATTATTTGTTAACTATTTACTGAAGTATATATTATTGTTTATTTAATAAATATATTTTTTGAAAGCATTCTATTCAATTCCATATCCATTTGTTTTTCCATTGTTGTACTGACTCGTTAGGACCAGAAGTAGCAGCCTACATTCTGAAATTAGAATCTTCTACTGTCCCATACTCTCACTATGAGGATATAATAAGGAACTCCCTATGTTAAGTACATCCTGTCTTAAGCTCTATTGTATAATTGTCACCCCATTCAGTTCCTTTTTAAAAACTGAATCTTTTAAATTGAATTGAATGCATTGTGCGTTTGTTGTTTTTAAGCATTGCTTTCTAATTTGATTGAATCATTGTGGCTTTTGTTGCTTCTGTGAGTTATGTTTGAGGGATCGTAAAATTCATTTTATTGGTGTTGCAAAAACACTGCAGAGAATATGGTACAAGTCATAAAAGATAAAATCTCTTTAATAGTACTATAAAAGTAGATTATCAGTGTACTGTTAATATACAGGAGAAAACATTTAATCTTGAAAAGATATACAATTAAAATATCATCAAAATAAAGATCATCATACTTGCTCATATAACACAACACAGAATTAAAAATAATATTTTAATTTGAATGTATTTTATTTTCAAAAACTAAAATTATGTATTTATTTATTATTTGTCTTCTTTTAATTTCTCTAGCCATTTATGAGACTAAAAGCTTTTCATTTTGTTTAAAATCAAATTATATAATATTTGGACAATGCTGAAACATATTTTCATTTCCCAGGTATGGGTATAGAAATTTACTTGCATATTTGTTGGCTAATAACCATAAAATTGGGTTGAGTAAAAGATTCAAATTATATTTAACTTAAAAAGAACCTCTCTTCCTTCCTCATTATTTTTTAACTGGGATAGGGTTGTAATCTAATAGATTATTTGTGGGATGTAAACCAAATTTAAATATTAGTTTTATTGTTGTTTTTATTATGTTATTATTATTTTTTTTTTTAGTTTCTGTTTATTGTTGGTTAAATGTCTTGTATATTTTGAAGAAATGATCATGATAGCTGTTGTTATTGTTATATTATTTTCTCAGTTTTTATTTAACAAGTATATATTATTAACAAAATTTGTTAATATAAACTTTGGTGTATTTATAAAGATTATATTTGTTATATTTGTTATTGTAATTATTTTTATTGTAGCCTTCTTCTGTAATAATAATGACAATCAAATCTGTACACTTTCAACTTACCAATTAAAATATTATCAGTGATTGTTATTACAGCTGTAATTAGTATCAATGTTATTATTGTTGTTAAATGTTACTATTGCTGTTGTTTATTATAGTTAAGTTGCAATTAGTATTGTTTATCAATGGCGTTATAAATATGAAAGTGCTAAAAACAACTTAATCGTTTTTTTCAAATGATAATTATAGATCGAATAACTAATGACTATTATATATTATTGTTAATATTCATATATTGACAGCATGAAGAGGATGACAATGATGATGGTCTGTCTCGAGTAGAAAAGCGCCGGGCAGCAAGACAAAGAAGGTATGTTTTTAATAGTCTTCTTTAACTTGGCATATTTCATAGGGGTTTTCCCCACTCTGTTTTCACATAATTTTGGATTCTGTGCCAATGATACAGTTTCCTCATTAATCAAGGCAAGCATTGCTTTTTTTGACAGTATATTTGGTTGAAAGCTTCTCATGCTAGCAGATACATCTACTGTACTTAGATACATCTACTGTACTTAGATACATCTACTGTACTTAAATACATCTAATGTACTTAGATACATCTACTGTACTTAGATACATCTACTGTACTTAGATACATCTACTGTACTTAATACATCTACTGTACTTAGATACATCTACTGTACTTAGGCCAAATAAAAATTAAAAAATTACTAGTTTCTACTCCCTTTGCACCTCCATCTTCTCTGCCTCACCAAATTCTATATTTTTTTATAATTTTTACAATTTTCTTTATTTTATGAAATGTATGAAAATGAATTCACATCAGTAAAATCCCCCTCTCGATCGTTTATGATCGGGGATACATATGGTATGAATCATGCCTAATGCTGCTTTTATTTGCTTTCAATGTGTCTACTTGGTAAATATAGGAAAGTAGTAGCTGTTGACCATCTTGGATTTGCCGTCTCGGAGTATAAAAAAAAATGTGCCCTCATTCTCCTACTTCTTTTTAACTTGGCCTTATATATGAAAAGCGTACAGCTACCTAAACGGCATGAGATGAACCCATATCTAGACAACCATTTTTCAAGGTTTCTGTAAAATTTGGTGGTGCTTTTTTTTTTATCTGTGAATCATTCTATTAATATTATTAATATTGTTGCACAGACGACTCTCATGAAGTTCCACCTTGTATAGAGTTATTATAAGCAATTCTGTAGTTCAAAGGGGGTAAGCACACCTCAGGTATAAGCCTCCCCCCCCTATTTTACATCCTATTTTACATACCAACTTCTCCTCTGGCAAAAGCCCTAGGTATGATTGGAATGAGTAGCTTAGCTGACTTTTACAGATACCCTAAAAAAAAATCAAATGTTGGGTTTGAATTACAGTGGGCATGTGTGCTGAAAAATTGACTTTTTATGGAAAAGGAGATTCCCCAGGTATAAGCCCACCTCCCCACACAAAAAAAAAAAAAAATAAATAAAAAAAAAATTGGTCCAATTTTGTATTGAAGGGGATGGGTCTATACCAGAGGAAATATAATGTATAATATAAACTCATTTTTAATAGCACTTTCCTTATTTAAAGAAATTCTGATAGCAATTCCATATAGACAAACACATTTCAAAAATTAAATATCATTCATGTAAATTAGCACATAAATTATTAGAATAATTATCGATGAAGGTACTTAGTGATGTAAAATCCATGGGTAGCTCAGCGTGGCAGGTAATGGTGAGTGGCATTTTAAGTTCCTGGGGTTGCTACTTAGAAGAACACTGCAGCTGTGTTGTGAGCAACAACAAGATGGCGGTTCACCTGCCTGCAGTTTTTAGTGGTAAAGTCTGTTGAACTTGATTCAAACACAAATCAGTGCAATCTCCTAAGGTCAGGGGGCAGGTCCGGGGCTTTGAGACAGGACAGGCGCGGATCCAATAGGGGAAAATGGGAGTCACGTTCTCCCGTTTTGCCACTAAATTTTTAAATTTAAATTCATATCAGTGTTATGCATTGAAATAAGAGCTACACACTTATCTATTCTGAAAATGTTGTGCCTTCATATTTCTACAACTGGGAATACCTACAGCGTTCATCACTGATTGATTGATTGATTATCTTCCATATCAATCTGACAAGGATAATTTAATGTAATTTCACACTCTTTGTTTTTTTGTAATTTTGTGAATACTGTACTTACAGGATAAATTTGCAATGTTACCTGATCAGATTCACCCTTTAAATATAATAGTCCAGCCTGAAGCACTGTATTAGAATGCCTGTGAAGCCAAACCTTCTATATCTTTTAGTTTGTATTCTGTATTTCAATTAATAATATTGGACAAGAACATTAACTTGTAGCTGTGGCATGCTGAGAATCTGTTAGTGATGTAGGAACGAGTATTGTCTTAGGCTCCAGAACCATTTAAAAATGAGTCATCTGCTTGCAGTGTCTTCCACTATCATCATCACCATCATCATCATTGCCAACGTCATCATCGTTATTATCCTCGTCATCATTATCATCATCAGTGTCACCATCATCATTATCGTCTTCATCATCATTCTCAGTATCAACCTGATTATTATCTTCCTCATCATCAATGTCATCATCCTCCTTAATCATTAGCATCATCACTGTTATCATATCATTATCAACATTATTACCATCATAATTATCATTAGTATCATTATCATCATCACTCCCATGCCCCGGGGAGCTCACTTGTATACCAACCTTACGGGGGGTGCAGCAGCCACTCCAAGACATGAGACACTTGTGCTACCTATTTTACTGAAAATTATTAGGGACTTGAACTAGTGTATCATTTAGCAAAATCCAGTGTCGGTTGAACTACTGTACTATTACGGCCATGTAACCTACCAAATTAAACTGGCACTGGTTTCCGATGGCGAATAAGACCGCGGTTCTGTCTGTTCGCGATCCCTACTGTTTGTGGCTATGTATCAACGGTAGGTTTTGAAGTTTAGCACGGAGGTTAGCAAAAAATCTTTGTTTAAATCTTGTGAAAAATTATGCTACTTTGATTTTACTACCAATTTTACCTGGTATTTCCCACACTTGTGCTACCAAGTCCTCTCAAATGTACCCTATACATGCTGAAAATTTTCCATAAATTCCCATACTTGTGCTACCAAGTCCTCAAAAATACCCCCGTAAATGTGGCACCTACACGTATAGAAATATTCAAGAGTGAGCCCCCCGGGCTCCCATGATCATTATTAAAATCATCTTTATCATCACTATTATCCTAATCATCATAATTACCAGCATCATGTGTAAATATTTCAGTAGCAAACCCATGGAGAGCTGTTTTCAGTTGACAGGAGCTGTTGTACATATTATAATGTAACATGAATGTTGCAAATTACACATCTTCCCCTGTTGCTATTTGACAGCCTAATAGACAGTATGACATACTTCATAGAGCTTTGAACTCAGTTAAAATACTCAAGATGCATTAGTATTTTGTTGATATTCATAGCATTGAACAAGAAAATGTATTTATGAATATATTATGGATTTAAGCATTGTAGAAATTATGTTTAAAAGGGAACGTGAAAGTAAAAAAATTTCTCTGTTAGATAGATAAAAACCTCATAGTATTCCATTGTTGTTACAAGATCTACCAAGTCTTGAACATTTTATTCAAATCTCAAACAGACTCAGGCATTGGTGGCCTCTCTCAAGCTCTCACACTCAAGGCAGTAGGGGGGAGCTCCAGAAATTTGCCGACAGGGAGTTCGATCCAAGGGGTCGACAAGATCCTTGGTCTTGGTCCCCAGAATAGAAGTCCCAGGTAGGGTTCATGGGGAGAGTTTTTATGGCTTATGCCCAAAATTGTGCTTTTAAACCACAATATTAGTAATGGCAATCAAAATAGTGTGGTATTTGGATAGGCAAATTAATATTTTTTTGGCCGACGATCTCGTCGTGGCGTCAGATGAGGGCTGTCTGAAGGGGACTCCTGCTGGCGCCATCACTTTATCAAGGACCAAAAAACTTAAATAAAAAATTAAAAACACCTGAATTATTTTTATATAAACAATAGACTGAACTTAGTCACCAAAGATGACGTCATCAGTTTCGCCGAGTGGGTGTAAAAATGTTCACAAAGCCGAAAGAGCTAATGCATCGGGCGGAGTCGAAAGTGGTGTATATTAAATCGTCTAAAATGTAATGAAGTTCGCATAGAAGATACTTTTTATATCAACGTTTACATTTTGAATGATTCATAGATTCATGAGACTAAGTGTGATTTGATTTACATTTCCATTTAGACTAAAAATAGGAAGTTTTGAGATGCCTTCTAGTGGGCCTAGGCCAATCGCTCGCTAGACCCACCACATCTAGCGCTGACTAAGGTGATAGATGTTAATTTAGAGGTACACAATCAGCTTAAATTTTGTTGCAATTTCTGTATGAAATAAAACTATTGGACAAACTTAAATTGCTGAATTGTAGAATAAGATGTTTCTTTTGACTACAATGGCCAAGGAGTCAGAAGAACATTGTTTGTATGACTCTTTCATCTAGGGCTAGGCCGTGTTTATGCGATGAGGCTTTGCAAACATGTTCAAGTTTTCCATTTGTTTTCACTCCATTTCAAATCTAATGGGTCAAAATTCTGACATTAAAGAAATATTTACCAAGGTTTTTTGTTAACTTATTTTACGATAAATTGTACAAATAAATAATTTTGAGGATTTTAAAAACTATCGAAATTTATTTGATACCACCGGATTTTTGAAGTTATACCCACTATAACAGTTTTATTTTGGTGACTAATTCGGTCTATTGTTTTATTTGTGATTTGTTGGCTTTACAATAGTCCTTTACACTAGTTGATTACAATTTTGAGGCTCTGAAAAACTTATCAAACTTATCAAACTAAAGCTATATACTAAATTGCAATGCGACTAGTTTTTTGCTTTCCCATTTGATGTACTTTCTGATAGGTCAGAGTGGCACTTGCTGACCGCTCTCATGTTACTGTCCTACAAATGGAATATAGAGGTTTTTGATAACTGATAACTAATTAGAATCCACAGAAAGGAGTACTCCCACACTATGGGTCAACTGACTTATTTTTTATTTGAGGTTCAGGCAAATAGCTTCACACGTAATCACGCTACTGGAGGCATTCAACATTGTCAGTTTTGTTACCATAGAGACCAACGATATCCCATGGGCACAGACTAGACATTTTGTTATTTTTGGATGGTCTCTGTAATATTGTATTTGAGGCTTGTAACATTTAATATAACAACTCAACATTTATTACAATACTGTAATGTCATGTATGTGGTTATGCGGTATATGTAAGCAAGAGATGTAGTATTGGTAGTTTTGTGTTGGACCTTACGCTGTTTCATGTGAATCTTTCTGGGCAGACTCCATTTGATATGTTTTTTTTTTGTATTATACTTGTTGTGATTGTTAAAATGATCTTATGAATATTATCATGGAATTCTATTTTGTGGATATTATTAGCATTTAATTATTATCAAATAATAATAATAGATAGATTTGTAAAGTGCAATTAAACAAGGACTCTATGTGCTCGACAATACTGTATCAGTGCCCTCCCCTTGAAAAAGGAAATTGAGAAGAAAAGAAAATTCTACTTAAATTTTGAGTATAAGACTCCATTTCCAGCCTATAATAGTGCCATAATAATAAATTTTCTTCCCTCAGCCCCAACCATTGTGGGGCTAAGGTAGTATAGACCCTCCATCTGTGAAGGTCCCTCTCTGCGCCCCCTCTATTGTAAATTCCTAGATCCACCACTGTGTAGGTACAGTAGGAAGAAAACGAAAAAAAAAGCACAATACAAATTCCTATTGTATGTTTTTGTTTTGCAGGCAGGCGCAAGAAGAAGGGGCAGGTAATGGAGGAAGCTCAAGTCCATTAATTAACAATGACAGGCCTAGTAGGGATCGACGCTCTGGGGTAAATATTCTGTGCATACCTGTACTAGGTGTTATGTGTCACCAATGATTGTGCATATAATTTGTGGGGTGGAAGTGATGGTTGTGTGTCTTTCCTATGTTTATTATTGTTTTGTTTATCATTTCCTAATTTAACATTTTTAATTGGTGCGGTACTGTATGTTAACTAATGCTGATTAATTGGACCCTAGATAGTCTGCACCTTAATCATGACCTTAACGCTTAAATTGAGAGTTGAATATCTAAATAATGAAGACCCTGGATTCTTTGTAACTATGTCATCTTAATGAAGATTTGCAAGTCGTTGAGTTTAGCTATAGTTATAATTTGAAGAGATTCAAACCCTTTATTTTGGATTTTAAGATGTGCAACATCTTGCAGAACAGACGACATCAACAACATTAAGAACTCTGTGCGATTACTACCAAACTAAAACTCAGTAGTGTATTAATCAGGGGCAGATCCAGTAGGGGCATGGGTGGGCACGTGTGCCCTTCCCCCCAGTTTTACTGGCAAATCTTAAAAATTTTAATGCAAATCAATGTTATGTGATACTCACCTATTCTGAAACTTTTATGCCCGTCCGTTTGAAAAATTCTGGATCCTATTCTGTTAATAGCTATGATTTTTCACTGGCTAAGCCTAAGACCCCAGGCCTTAAAGGGGCTCACGGCTTTAAGAGGCCCTGGCTATTTATCAGAATTTTTGCCCCATACATTGGCCGAGTAAAACAACATCAAAATACTTCCATAAAATATTAAATACGCCAATTTCTAATTTTTGATTTTCAGATTTGTGAAATTGTTAAACTTCAATTTGTTTTATATAGATTGCAATAAAAAAAATTATCGTATTGTATCATAAAGGTTTTTCCCCCAGGTTAGTAGACCCCAAAGAAGCATTAGCCAGGGGCTTCAAACCTCTTTGCTATGCTGCTGCTACAACTCTACCATATTATGTAGTAAAAATCTTCCTAGCTTTAGTTTTGTTGAAGCATTTAGTCAGTAACTTCTGCTGGTTCCTTGGAATTTGTGTAGTAATGAAATTAAGCATGAATCCATTTCTTCTACCCAACTAAACCATTTGTCTTATTTGATTGCATGCAATTCAAGTTTAAACACTTCTAATTATAACACAATGGCAACAAAGTTTTCTGTGACTGCTGTTATTGTTGAGTCTGTGTCAATATTGTAATCTACTATTTTTTTGTGATATATAGTTTATACAAGTATTCATTCTTACTTTGGTGGCATGGTATTGTAATGTCAACAACCTCATGTGAATGATGATTGTAAATTAATTTATTTTTGATAACAGTTGCATTGTTTGAAAATTGTAAACAATCCTTGGTTGATCTTTCTAATTCATGCTATGTTCCATATAATGTTTGGATTTTGTAATATAGTGATATTTTTCTTACTATTGCATGGTTAATTATGTTTTCCATGTTTATGACTCATACTTTCTTGTTTTTTAAAATGTAATTATTTTTCTTAAAATTTACTACATTGTGCTTAGAAATTGTGAAAGTACTTTAGTTAATCTTTATAATTGCTGTGCTTTATATAATTAGTGATATATTTTCCATTGCATGGATTGATTATTTGATAACCAGTGTTATATTTCTTTTCATTGAATGCCTGAATGTGTTACTATAGCTTGATTCTGGTGGATTGCAACAAAAGTTGGATTTGGCTAATCTTACCATTTCCCACCTAAACGACGAAGTTGACAGGTTGAAAAAAGTACAGTAATTGTATCATTATAAATTTGTTGTATCATATTTAGAAATATAATTTTTTTAGATAAAATATAATGTTAAATAATAGATTTTTATAGCGCATCATGCCAAAATGCCTCTATGTGCTTAGTGATTCAGCTCTTTGAGTTTGATATTTTGAAAGTTGGAATTAAAAAAAAATGTTACCCTATAAAACTAAACCTACTACTTAAACTAAAGCATTGTAGGCCATTGGCTCCAAGGAATTTATCCGCCCTTTATACTTATATGATATATTGTATTATGTCAGTTATAATTAATTCTAATAAAAACAATATAAAAATCACTTTTTCTCAGTTTTAAAATGTATTATAAACAGAATGAACCTAAAATGACAAAACTACAGGAAGAACAGGAAAAGAATAGATTCTTTTAAAATGAACCAAAATCATTACAAAAATAATAGGCCTATATAACTTTCTAACTATGTAATATTAAAATATGAAATACAAACATTCAGTGTTCTGAATACATAATAAATGCCTAATTTGCTGAGACATTACTAAAATTAAATATATTTGTATACTGTTATATTTCTGTTTCGGACTGGGAATAACTAATCCTGTGCATAGGGCATTTATCAAATTATTAAAACCATTGTCGTAATTTTTTAATTTTACGTTTTAAAATTAATAATTTTATTGTGTACTCTTTCAGGGGAAGGAGGGGTTCACAGAAAAGAATGTCTTGTACTCTTGTAAAAATGATTAAAATAATGAATGTAATTAGCTTTATTGTTGTTGACTGTTTTTAAGCTTTCTTTTATTCCATTTTGTTAGGAAGTGTCAACATTAAAGGAAGATCTTCAACGGGAACGAGATGAAAAGGGTTCTTTGTTAAAAGCAATGACGAGTCTTACAAGGTATGCAATGCAATTATACATTTCTCTTGAAGTTTGTCATATATTTGTTCCCAGCAGCTAAGTTGCCCCAGGGCCCATGGGCATCCTCAGCAGCTTTGGTTCGTTCGTTCATTCATTTATTTGACCAAAATCGATAGTTACAAACAAGGTACAAAAGTAAAATGATGTTAAAAAATATTGTCAAAGATTTCAGTAAATGAAACATAATTTTAAAGTTTACAATGTGGAGAATAAGAATACTGTATATTAAAAAGTCTATTTTTATTTCGTGGTCACTGATGCTAGATTAGGGATGGCAAGCCTCATATGTGATGTTAAAGGCAAGAGAAACAGCAATAAAATCTATAAATAAAACTGGTTATTATAATAATATTTTATATTGAAACTTTTTAATTGATTTTTCCACCTCAACTGTTATTAACAATCATTAGGCCTATCTAGGCTAGACTAATACATTTCAGATAATTGATGTATTTGTGGTTATTGAAAAAATTATCAGTCCCACACATTCTCAATGTATTTACAAAGGAATATTTGTTGATCCATAACAAAGCATGCTGTTCAAATAGAAATTGTCAAGCCGCCAAACACAAATAATATAAATCAGGCCATTGTAAGTGTTTTGAATGGTTTGCTGTGGTTTGCGTCACTCTGTTCTTTTCAATAGTAGCTGAACAAAATATTAAAACAACAAACAAAATGTTTGCAAATATAAACTGTACTTGACTGTGTATATATAATTGGCCTTTATTCTTTTATTGAGTGGACTGATTGACATTTAATGCCTCGCCCACCTAAAACTGAGTGTCTCTGATTTCAGCACAGTCATATTTAAACTTTCTGAAAGCAGTTTATCTCATCATTCATCAATAGGAATATTAATGGAAGAGGTCTCCCTCCAATTAAAGACCACTTTTGGGACTGGGGTTTCCATGGTCTTAGTAGCTTTGGCAGTGGCAGATCCTGAATTGCTCAAACCATAGACTCAAACTGGTGTAGGGGGAGGGGGGACAAAACATTTTCAGAATAGATAAATGAGTAGCACATAACATTGATGCATTCACATTTTTAAAAATTTAGTGGCAAAACGGGGTGGCATGTGCCCCCTATTAGGTCCGCCCCTGGCTTTGGTCTTTCTAGAAATAAATATAAAAGACATTTGTTAATATGGGACCACAAAAATTGGTATGTTGGTGGTGATCTTTACTTGGAGGGATCTTTAATTAGAGGGAGACCTGTATTTGGAGAATTCAGAATTCAATTTCTTCTTGCAGCATGTGCATTCTTATCAAACTTTACTTGACTCAAATAATTTGACTTGAAATGATAATAGATAAAATAAAATAAAGTCAGAGGTTATTTTGTTCTTTCAGATAAAAGTTCTGGAAAGTGGATCATTTTATCCCTAGGTATCGGTGAATTAAATCTACAAACTGTTTGCTGTTTTAACGTCGATCGCTTAACAAATCGTTAATAGCATTCATACATGATGCTGTTTGAGTCGTGATGTGTAAACAAACAACTGCAGTTCTCCATACCTACTCCCTTTGCCTTTTTGTTTTTATCCCTCCCCATGTACTCTCCCACCCCCATATTATTTCCCACATCCAACTCTGCTGCAGATTAGATAATGGTGATCCATTGTTTCTATTGAATCATTTGATAACCTACAGTAAAATGAAACAGGGTAATAAATAACACTACTGCTGTCTACCATAATCACCGTAACAATTTGAAATACTTAGTATTGTTAGAATTATAAGAAGGGTGATGTGAATTATTGTTAATAATTGTTTTTTTTTAATTATTTGAAAGTTAATTTTAACCAATTCCTATCTAAACTGCCTGAAACAATAACAAAATAAAAGCAGTTTTTATACAGAATTGGGTTTTTATTCAATAATTTTAATGAAATAAGTCTTTAACAGGAAAAGTTTACTACAAATATAAAATAAAAACACTGAAAAATTAGTTGAAAGTCTAGTTTTTAATACTTTTATAATTTCCTCTCAAACATTTGTGGTGATTTCCATTGATTATACAAAATATCTGGTGTGCTATCAAATGCTGTGTTGTCCACTGAACGCTAAAAGTTAACTAATACAATGTGCTCAGCTTTTTTACCCACCTTGATATAATTATTTTGAGTGGTTGTGATCTTTTTTGTGATGGGGTGAGTGTGTGTGTGTGTATAAAGTAATTCTGTGCGTAATATAGATGGAGTTTTAATTTTACAATGAGGTAGGTACATATCGTCGCTCACATCACGAACTAACACAATCTACTTTGATTGTGTTAGTTCGTGATGTGAGCGTATACCTAATATTTTTATGAAGACTGATGCAACTTTTATTTTAATGTGCTCATCCATTTTTCATTGGTTGATCCAGTTTATTTCAATTTTAAATATTTTATTTTACTTTGTAATTTTGATATTATAATATATGCCAATGCTGTATTAATATACAACTATGTAGAATTTCACAATAATACCCAACTCGCTATATACAGTACCTTAATATGATTTGTGTAACAGATTTGGTAATGGCCTGTTGGTAAATATTGAATACACAGTAATGCAACACCATCCAACAACAGGTTAAGGTTAATCTTTTCAACTAACAAAATCAAATTACTATGCAAAACAATTGAAAATGTGTTTAATTGAATACAATTGTTTTAAATTGGAAAAAGATCAGGGTTGATTTTAAGCATATTATTAACTGAATATTTTGTAAAACTGATTGTACAAAAAGATAATTCTACAAAATTTGTATGTACAATACATTTTAAGATGAGATCCTTGCTCAATTACTTGCCCATTACCTTGCGTCCAAAAAAAAAAAAAAATTGTATAATTTTCAACTACATTTTAATTTACTTAATCAATTCTTAAAATATACAAACAGTGGAGTAATAAAGAGTAACCTGGATTAGTTTCAGATTTTATCTCTACAACTTGTTGTGATCAATTATTCTTAAAACTAAAAAAAAAAAATTAAAATTAAAGATACCATGACCATGAAAAAATGTTTGAAAATAAAAATCAATTTTAGGTAAGGTTTTGCTTTCAACAAACTTTGAAAAAGAAAATTAACCTAAGCATAAATAATAACTTTTCTATTTTCTTTGCAAATAAATTGACTAAATTTAAGGATTTTGGTAGTGAAAAGTATAAATCAGCAAAATCTGAATTGTTTAGATCTTTGTCTTGTTGAAATATATGTTTTATTTAATCTTTTTAAATGAGCAATGAAATTTTTAAATCAAAATGTTTGAAATAAAAAAGCAATATTGTATTACATATCTGATACATTTTGAGAATCTACTCTATGTAAAAAGTTGTTTTAATGTTTCCATAGTAATCATTTATATATTGATTTGATTGGTCATCCACAAATTGGACTGGAAATCTGCTATTTGATTGGTCAGTTACTTATTCATTAACATAAGTAGAAAATTGTAATTAATCAACAAAATTTTATGTATATTGCTATATAAGAAAACATTTCTAATTTGTCCCAAACTTGCAGTAAATGAAGGAATGAATATATTTACTTGGAATTAATAAGATTCTACCTATGAAAATGTGTATTTCGCCTTCATATATATAGTAGTAGAGCTTAAACATGAAAGATTATTTTTATTCATTTGCATAAAAAAAATATTGTTACTTGGAAGATTTTGACGTATTATTTAACTGCTTAATATTCTGAAATTTTAAGAGATGCTGAGATAGTTAATAATTAATTAACAATCATGTTATTCTTTGCTGTCTATAACTAATAAATTTACTTAAAATATTAATTATTTTGTTTAAAAATATCATAAACCTCCATAAACTTACTGTGATAAGGGGATACTATTGCATAACTACATTTCTCCATGAAGTTATTTAACGTGATTTCATGGTTTGCACTGTATTATAATAATAACATTCAAATACGATTATTATTTGTAGCTGTAGAGTAAAATGTACAGATTGCAAGATGAAATAAATACTCAACAATGTACAGAAACAATGACTTGTTTATTATGCTTGTTTTCTCAACATCTCTTTCCTACCCAGTGGGGATGCCCAGCAAATTAAAGTCCGAGTACATTTCCAGCCAACTATAACAGGGAGATAGTGCCATAATCATATTCCCCCCAGCACCAACCATGGTGGGGCTGTGGACTAGACCTTCATCTCAATTTAAAATTCCTGGATCTGCCTCTGCTACCTCTTCACAGACACACACACACACACTTACCCACACACTGATAATTTCATGGAGAGTGATTTTACCTTGATGAATTGGCTGTTTTCCATACAAACATTGTATTGTTCTTTGAAAGCAGCAATTAGTTAATTCAAGATTTCTACGGTGCTTTATATTCAAGAGCAGCAGTTGAGAGAGTAGGATGTTAGATCGTTCAGAATAGACAGATGAAAGAGAAAAAAGTCTTTAAATATCGCAGCTACATACTGTCACCTTCCCTATTTCTATGTAAGTACAGACAAATGTACTATAAAAAACAAGATGATCAGCATCCTGGGTTTGAAATCCACGGAATTGAAGGTTAAGAACCTGAAATGCAATCTGTCACACACCAATTACTTTTAAACATACATCTTCATAAATACAAGCACACACAAAACTGAACCAAGTTTGGACTTCAGAAAAAACTTATTTATTCAAAAGAATACTTCAAAAGGACAAATCTAGATCTACTTACATTTAAATATTTTAAATATAATATTTCATACATTTGCACATGATAAACACTATGAAAAGATAAGACAGATTGGTGCATACATATTACCAGTTTTCAAGACCAGGGTCAAAACAATGGTCTGCGAATAAAACTCGACCAAAATTCATTTTTGAAAATTTCCCCCCCACCCCAACTGATGATGATATAGTAATGAGAGCATTCCTTATGGGTCTACCTCAGCTTATAATGCATGCCTATTGTTCTCAGATCATGAAGTTCAGATTATTTATTTACGTAAGTGATGGAATATAAATGCCTGTATGGATTCGCATTATAAAGGTTCCGTTATTTTTAAATTCAAGCCAGCGGCATCCTCAGCTGAGGCACATGGGGCTAACGACGGTTTAGAATGCTTTATATATGGACCCCAGTCTTAAAAAGGCAGAGAATTAGGGCCATATATAATTATTTTTACTACTGGATTCAGTGGTTAACTCATGAACATAATTCTTGTAACATAATAAGAACATCATAATATATGTACAATAGTAACAACAACGATACAAGCTATCGACAGAGCTATCTGTATTACACTGCACTTATTTCATTATTATTCATTATACTATAAATAAATTATTCATTTTTTAAAACAAAGACAAAAACATTTATAAATTCTAAAACCATTATATGATTTTATTTTATATATAATATGTAGGTGCTTTCACTACATCACATGACAGTAATTCAACAATCAGATTGGTTTATTAAACATCGCAAAAAACCATGTGATAAGCATTTAACAATGTGATTGGTTTGCAGAATGTAGCAACAGATCATGATACAATTATTTAATCTGATTGGTTAATAAACTTGCAATAGACTACCTGTATGCGACAAGAATTCAATCTGATTATTTGTTTCTACTGTATCTACTAAAACCTCCAAATAAATCAAATTAAATATATTTATTTTCCATGCAATTTCAACATACAAATAAAATACACAACATAATGTAAATATAAAATTCAATTGCATGGAAGGAGGCTATTATAAATTCTGCAAGTTCAACTTACAGACCATTAAGGCAAAAACTTCCTTTTATAGAAAAACAATGTTTAATGAGATCAGTAATTTCTCACTGCATTGTGACTACTACTGCATAGATATGTATCTCATTTGTAGACAATAAAAGTGTTTTATTACTTTCTAAAAATTTGATGTTTAGGCACAAGGGCAAAGGATACATATGCCAATTGTGAACATAATCACATTCTTTGTGGTAATCCCTTTCACAAGATAAACATACACACAAGATGCTTTACATAAGTGTCAATATGAGGCTTGGGGAGGGAGTGAAGTTGTTTTTTGTTACGGGAAAAAACACCTTGACAGGAAATGAACCCAGGACCCTGGGATTTGAAGTCAAGCATCTTAACGTTCAATCCACAGCTCCACTTTAAAATGTTTAATTTGGACAAAGTAAGCCCTCAGCTGACATTTGAATTTATCAACAGTGAATTAGTTGTGCGCTTTAACTGCTGCATGAGGGAGTGTGTCTGCAAAATTGGTGTTGAGTAGACATACGTAAAATTAATGATCAACTATTCATTTCGTATAACATGCTTAACACCCAGGCGACCAGTTCACACCACCAACTCAAAAGATATTCTTCAAATTAAGTCCTTAATGAGACTTGTATACGTAGACTGTTGCTTTCCTATGGCTGCATGCTACATAGTGCAAAATATACACATTCAGTGAATCTAAAATGAAGCAAGGATACATGCTGTGTTGCAGCTAATTACATGATAAAAAGTTGTTTGATCTAAAGTTCCAGTATGGAATCGATAGCAGCTTCTGATCCATCCCCCTCCTCCGCATGGGATGACTTTTTCTTTTTCTTTTTCTTCTTTGTTCGGATTGCAAGAGGTTCAAGTCCTACAAAAACCAATTATAAAAATGTTTTAACAATTTTTACAAGGGTGATCTATGCAGCACTGTGTCAACACCAGTTGGGTGAAACATAGAAAAAATTAAATAACATGCCTTAGCTCCTTTCAGATGTGACAAGGCCCATAAGAAAAGGAAAAAAATAATGTTTACCCTTTTATTATTAGAGGCATCAATATTCTGAAAAGTCTCTAAGCAGCTTAAGATGGGCGTAATTGTCAAACCTCTTGTCGGACAACTTACTTTATATCAGGGATTAAAAAATAAAATATAACCTACATAACTAATCAAATTTTGATCTTACCTGGCCCATCCAATGCTGGCAGAGCACCAAGATGTCCACCACCAACTGACGGGAGTTGCCCAAGAGGTTTGTGATTCTCATTAGCCCCAAGGTCTGGTAATTCATGAACATCCTTGCCAAGCGTTGCCACCTTAGCGACCGGTCCATTAGCCTCTTGTCCTGTGGCTTTTTGGTACGAGGGTATCGATACCTGTGGTACAGCAAAATCTTTGTTCCTGGAGAATTAAAATTATTTTAATGTAAAATCACTTTAAAAATTTCAAATAAATATATAAAAAATACAACATGGGAAATAATTATTTGAATGCCCGGGTGACCCATTAAATCTAGTGTTTTTACACCAGACTTATTTCCAATTGGGTCCAGAAGCCGAGGAAATATTTACAGATAATGATTTATGATAAAAAGTTTCTGTAAACATAGAAAAAATTAAGAAACATGTCTAAAATGAGATCAACTATTCTAGGTCAAGGTAATTTTATTCTAGGTAATTTTCATGTCTAAGATATAATGCCAATCACTAGGATTTAACTCAGGATGATTACATATTTAAAATGATTGACAGCATTAATGTTAGACTAACACTTTAAATATTTGAAATATCAAATGAAAACTTGCTATTCTTACTCAGTATCACGATTTGCTTCTTGTCCATTGGTAGTGGGGTTTCCAGTTGTCTTTCTTGGACCTAGATCACCTTCTGTTTAAAAACATATCATAACCAATGTTTATATTTTAGATTAAAGTTAAAAGGTTCTACAATTCACATCATTCACATCACAAACTAACACAATGAAAGTAGATTGTGTATTGGTTGTCAAGCAATTTTGCATTCTTTACCACACAAAAAATCTATAACAACAACTGCACTTTTTTGTTTTCACAAACTAACACGATCTACTTTCACTGTTGAAGTTTTTGATGTGAGCGATGAATTGTTAAAAAATGCTAAATACTGCTTCAAAAAGATAAAGTGCATAGTACAGTACTACATAATTGTTGTCTTGATGTGCAGTAAACAAGAGAAAAAACATAGATAATAATATTATCTGCATTATTATTATTTATTGTGTCTATGTAGCTAACATCACAAAATTATGTGTTTAGTGGTGTTAGTGTGACATAGCAGAGTGAGTTTTTACTGCTATACACAATATACATCAAGAAATCTCATAAAATTGTGCAGTGCTTGAAATCACCCAGAAAAAGTGTTGTTCTAAAATTAATCATAAGAAATGTCTTTGGGAATGGCAAAGATGGAAATTCCATTTAACAAAGATCCAACAAGATATAAGACACCAAGATTATAAGAAGTTATTTGTGAACTTACGATCTTTCTGGCCTGGAACAATCAATCTACCCCCCTTCCCAAGTCTCTCACACACTTGATGTAGATGCTTGTTCAGCTTTATACTATCACTAGGCTTAGTGAGCGATACTGGGTTCACAACTTGGTCCTTTGCGGTCTTAGCTAGGCAGGTCCTCAAGAGATTAGTCAAGGCAGCATCAGTCACCTCTTCCCAACCCTTGGAGTAAGATTCCCACATTAATAAAAAATACAGTCTGTTGGTTCTCTGTGCCTTTTAATTAATGAGTACCATTACGAGTATAAATAAATGCAGCCCAACTGCTTGTAGCAATTTATAGTGCAAGTCTATTCAACTAATGATAAGACTTATTCTTATTCAAAAATGAAACCTTTCCGGAATGTCAAACTTAGAAACTGCCCAATCAGAACGGGGTCATGATCGAGTGTTTACATACGTTTACGCTAATGCTTTGCAACAATATCAAAGAGGTGGGGCTTAGCGGGAAGGTCCATTTACAGTAGAGTAGACCATCATTTTATTGGTACTGTACTATCAACTTATAGATTATGGTAAATAGGTATGTAAAGATATACTGGAAATGTGGTTACAGGCAGATCACAGCCAATAAAAAGATGAACAGCTCAGGGTATTTATATTTCAACAGGCATAGAGAGATGAATGAGGGGCTTGCTAAAACAATCAGTCAAAGTTTTAAAGTACCTGTTCGGAGTCCACTGGTACGTGGTGAGATAGTGCTGACTGCAGTACATCCATCTCGCTGTCACTTAATTTATACAATAATTTCATCAGGGTGGTGATGATAAGGGTGGCACAGCTTAAACCCATGCAACACCGAACCATAGCTTTCTGGTTTTCCTCCACCCCTTCAGCTAGCTTCAATATCTGAAATCAAGAAAGATGTAGTTAGTGCTGAGAATTCAATATTTTATAGTCTATCTGTAGGACATGGTTTACATTGTTGAATGATTAGTGTGTGCATACCTGCCGATATGTGCCGTCAAGCAAGGTATCTAAATTATTCAATGGTGCTGGTGTCTTGTCTTTAAACCGAGTCAAAAGTCGCCTTTGAATTGCACGGAATTGCTTCGCTCGTTGATCCAACAGTTGCATGTACCTCTCATGGTTGACACGAAGCTGAAGTAAATAACATTACAAAAATTACTAAAGTTGAATTACAAACAAAAATTGTCCTGACTTTACACTATGTAAAATTATGCAAAATTATATCCAAATCAACCTGAATAAACCACGGTTTTTTAAAAACTTTAGCATAAGTTTTTCAATATGAAATCTAAAAAATTCAACTAGCTTCTGAACTGATATAATGCTTTACTACATGTGTCTCCATACCAAAAAGCAATACATCATGTGTATACAAATGCCTGAGCTATTCAATAACAACACACTCGGGTAACATAGTAGATAGTGTAAGTTGCTTGGTGGTCAATAGGCAAAAAGTTGAGAAGGCGATTACAGAATGTATACCGATTACATACACTTCACAGACAGAAGATTCCATTTATTTTCAAAGGTAAGTCTTGCTAAAGAAAACTTTGCACTAGTTGGTTTATCCAGGTAAGTATTCACAAAATAGACTACATTTTTAAGATTTTCATAGAAAATCAGCTAAAAATGAATCCATTCAATCTATGTATCGATGGAAATTGCCAACTTATTTAATGTGTTGATTTAATTTTTTTAGATTTTAGCACCTTTCCTATAATTTTCAAAGATGCAGATAATTAATAAAATACAATTACCTCCAAGTGGGCATCTATGATTTGACAGTATTCTGTGACTGGTAAGCTACCTGAGTAGGAGCATTCAAACCCTTTGACACCTGCGTTCTTGTGGTAGATCACCAGTCGATCAATAAGCTCCTTCAGCATCAACCACATTGATTCAAAGACATCCGACTGCAGACGGTAACGCTCTACGAGATAGAAAGCAAAGTCACAATTATACTATATAAAAATATAACAATATAATTTAAAATAGGCTCATTCTCTCACATGAGCTGTAGTTATTCATTTATTTATTTAATTATCATTTAAGCTACAACCTGGGGCTTTTCAAACAGGTTCTTTATTGAAGAGTTGTGTTAATAAAAACGTGGGTGCATAACTTTTGAGAAGGAATGAAATTTTACTAGCAAAATTTTTCTCAAAAAATACACTATGGTTTCACCTTTAAATTCAACTGCATATCATTATGTATCATATTGACTGTTCCACTAATTGCTGTTATGCATTCTATTTTTGCTAATAGTCAAGGCATAGATTAGACATTTTTGAAAAAGGTGCTCCACTAATGGTTAAGGGCATAGGGAGATAACCAAAAGTGACTGGGGCTGGCAGGGTACTAATTGTTGGCACTAAGTAGGGCATGTATGTACTTTTCCTTTATTGATATAAATAATTAATTTTAAAAGCTGCATCAAATTAATTAGCTGCCAGGGAGTCATACTGTTGATGCCTCTGCTTTTTGTAGCTTTTCTTTTTCTGCTTCTTTGATCAGTGTAAATATTATATATTAAATTACCAATATCAACACCTTTGATCATTTATTGTTAGTAATAATATTAGATGCCCTGTACTTACGTGATGACTTTGATGCCAATATAACAGTTTTTGGTCCACCATACACTTGAAATGCAATTGCATTACCGTTCCCACCAGCACTTTCAACACCCATATCTGAATTATCATTGACAATGATTAAGAACATAAAAGCTGCTCTAAAGTATCATCACTAAACAACAGCATAAGTGTACATAAACATGTGTATTTGTGGGACAAGACATTTTTGTGGGACACCTGCATATTCCTGGTGCTGTTTTGATAGGCCAGATGTTAAGGTAGAATGGCACTCCAGAAAGGTCCATAGTTTTAGGCTACATTCAGACTTGGAGATAAGCCAGGCTTACGTAGAGCCGGGCTCAAGGTTAAGCCCGGCTTAACTTTGCCAGGCGTTCAGACTAGCGGGATTAGCCAGGTGCAAGTATTTGCATATATGTTTCGAAACATTGCCCTCAAAACGTATGTTTGCTCACGTAATTGAATGCTGATTGGTCATTTTTTTTATCCGAATTCAATGCAAGACGCCCCACAATGATTAAAGCCCGGCTTAGATACTAGAAGAACACAGCCCGGCTTGAGATAAGCCACCTAGTTCAGACTGGCAGGTGGATAAACCTGGTGAGTTGAGCCAGGTTTATCCACCTAGCCTGAACTAGGCCTGAATCATTTTGTATTAGTTCTCTGGAGAGTATTCCTATTCCGGCTTGTAATTCAGCCAGACCAATTTCATCCCCAATCAGTTAATCCTACGGGATACCATATATGTTAAGTTTGTCACATAAACTATGATAATCATTAATAATACCTTACCTTACCATTATTATTGAAAAACACATGAATAATAAATACCTGCAAATATCTCTGTCAAGTTGATAGGTGATTTATTGGTATCTAGCGTAATCTTATGAAGTGCAGTGCTAAATGGTGCACAAGCTTTACAGGTAAGTTTAAACGGTAGCTTGAATTCACAATGTGATACTCGAGGTGCCCCTGTAAATAATCATAAAACAGGGTAAGCATGTTACATTTTTCAGTTTGAATGGACTGGTTTTCAATGTCAATGTACCATTTCTGTTTCATTTAGGAATGCACCATTCTTTCAGTTTAAATGTACAGTAATTGTTTCATCATACATATACAATTATTTAAGCGTGAACGAACCATTTGGAAGCATGAACGTAGCTGTTGCCTTTGCAGTTAGTGAAGATGGCAGGCAGTTACCCTTCATAAAAAATGATGTTGTCACTTCTGCTGGTGCCGAGGAATCTAAAAACAAAATATTTATATTACTATTATTATAATATAATAAGTATCATCATTATCATGTATTATTTTCATCATCATCATTGTTATCACTATTAATTTTACTGATAATATAATCATTAGTATCAGCTTTAATATTATTATGGACACATTTTTCTCAAGGTGTAAATTAAACAAATCAGAAGTAATGTTTTTAGTCCATGAGTTTCACATTGCTTAACTTACCTCTCATAAATAATGGAATGGTCCATCTCACTATATGAAGCACCCTAAACTAAATACATCTTATAAACTTGGTATTGATTGGTTTATTTAGCTATTACCAAATAGCCTTGCTTACCAATAAACGGAATCTTGAATGTGGCCTGATTTGCAGCCAGTGGGGATGGGGCGTACACCAGCAAAGTTGCATTCTGTACACTCGTATTACTGGTGACTGAAAGCTGAAAAAGAATTATTAATTAAATAATAAATCAAATAGTTTAGACTTATAATAAAACATCATTAAAAAGCAGAACTATAGCAAGACAATATATTTCAATATTGGTATTGTGTGTGTTGACAGAGCTTACCTTTACAATAACGGACGGTATAGGGTCATCATCTTTTACTTCAGTATCCAGTGTCGCTGACTATTAATGGTAGATGACAAAAAGAAATAATATTTATGGTTCAAATAAGCCCACATCAATCGATGAATTGTACAGCAATGGATTATCAGCTTTACTAATTAATGATTTAGACACTTTACAAATTTCAAATTATATTATCAAACAATCAGATACCAGTATTTATGTTACTTTTTTGATTTGAAGAGTTATAGATTATAAATAACTTACATTTGATGTGTCAATCCTATTTGGTACAGAGGCCTTTATCGTGACACCACTGTCAGTCATTTTTGCTGGAATCGGATCTGTTGAATAACAGACATAAGATTTAAATATTAACTACATTTTCATACCTCCTGGATTAAAAGCTATTTTTCAAACTAGTATATTGTATTCAATATGTAAAAATAAGTACCAATGAGTCACTGCTTTAAGATAGTATAATTATCACCAGTAATGATGATAGTGACACTACTAACAACAATCTGTTGGATTGGATTTGATTGGATTTCGTCAGTGTGAAACACACCAAGGACAAACCACAAAAGGCCTAAGACTTACTTCCAGTGAGGTCCTTCAGGTGGTGAATTGAACAGTACACCAAGAGACAATTCCCTACCTATTTCCGAATAGTGTACCATGTTTTTTTAGCATGCACATGGGCTATAGTACACAGGACCAACGGCTTAAACGTCTCATCCCAAAGAAGGTGTGCTATGGAAATTTGTATTTCAGCCCTCCAGCTGAAATACAAGGGAGCAGCGATGGGAATAGAACTGAACTACCACTGAGTTAAGCTGCTCCCTGTTAACCCCAAACACTACCATAGAAAAAGTTTGACTTTTAGGAACATACCTGTCCTCCCAAGTGCCTTTCTAATAGCCATCTGAAGATTTCTCATCTCCTCGTCTTGTTCAGCATAGTTAATCTCCCTCGAGTCAGGAGGAGGAACACTGAATGTGGAAGGATCTGTGCCAAGGTAACTGCACATAAGATGACCATCTTCATCTAGACTGACAACAGCTCCTGTCAGGTCTCTGTTTGTAAATTAAACTGATCATCATTTTTTTTTATAACAATACATTGGTATACTTATATACCACAGTTCCTCAGGTATAACCCCACCTCATGTATAAGCCGACCCCTTACTTTACACCCAATTTTATGTATCAGTCTTTTCTCAAGCAAAAGCCCAGGGTATGGTATGATTTGAATAAGTAACTTTTACAAATAAAAAAATTATGAATTAGGCATGCTGAGCTGAAAATTTTCCTTTTGATTGAAAAAGGGTATAAACCTGTCTGTAATAAAATAGTAACACCATACAATACTTTGAGAATAAAAAATGTTTAACTAAATAGTTTCAATCAACAAAGAACATATACAGTGGAGACATGCATATAGGCTGTTACCTGAATGTAGCTGATTGGATACAGATTGGGATGTAGTCAAGCTTTGCAGTCCACTTTAGTTGTATGTCTTGGTATATCATCAATTGACTTGTGTAGGTTCCTATCATTGTATTGATGCTGCCTTCAGAAACTATACACAGAAACAAAGCATACAAATGTTATAGAAACTGCAACATCACTGCCCTTACCCATAATTCCAAAGATCATTACTACATCTTATAGACACATATCACTTCTTTATATTTCATTTTATTTGTGGAATGACCTTCCAGAATACATCAAGTAATCGCCTACCAATAGCAAGTTTCAGGGCATCGCTCAAAATAATTTTCTCTTTACGTTCTTTTAATAAACCCTCTCTTTTTAATGATGCGATTTGACTCATTCTATTTTCTTTTGTTTTATTTCTCTTTTTCACATTTTGTTTAATATAAGTTTAATATAGTTCTTATGGTTAATTTGTCCTCTTTGTGTTAGGGTGATTTTGTGTGTATAGTTATCAGAATCATCTATACTTTTGTGCTGTATAAATATAACTTCCTTTTATGAATATTATTATCAAATTCTAAAAATGTTTGATAAAACAAAATGTTTCTTGAAAATTCCATGAAGAACACTTAATTGCCAATTATAATAGTAAAGCATCTGTATGGCCAAGAAATGAATCACATTTTGGCCGAGATTGGGGTGGGGAAAGATAGGTTTAATGAATGTTCACAAAATACTGTGTAAATTTGATGTTCTTACCTGATGCATAGGGACAAAAGCAGCTTGGGTTGTATTCTAACTTCTTCAAGAATTTCAAATTACCATTTTCCTTTAAACATACAAAGGAATGTTCACCTACAGTATAAAAAAAGATGATTCATGTTTTGTAGCTAATTGATATATATTATGTATATTATATAATTGTACTGGAAGACAATGAAAAATAATTTTGGATTAAGTTAATTAAATAAGAAATATGTGGTTTGTTGGATTCAAATCCTTTCAATGTCAGGATGTTTGCTTATTACAGCTTAAAATAACTCCACGTCTTTAAGTATTATACAATAGTGAAATAATGTTAGCACACTGAAATAAGGCAAACAGGCAAACTAAATATGCAAAAACTCTCAGGGGTCACCATCCACCACTCATCAGTTTTTGAGCATCGCCTTTCATTTGGTAGACTTTCTACTTTTAAATAAACTACTTACCTAAAATAAGAATTGATGTTGGTGTCTGGGGCTGATTGAACACAAAGATATCAATGACTGGCTCTCCAATGTTGAATGTCCAATCAACCTACAAAAAAAAATTCTAAATTATTAGTTCTTTATTCTGCTTTATTTATTTTTACTATATTCATACATATCACGTCTGGTAGGGCAAAACATCATTCCTATGATTATTTACTGACGCAAACTTCATATCTTTATATATTCATACATATTTTATTTAGCAGCAATATGCTGAATTGCATCAGATTTAAGCAAAAGAAGTTCAATGCAAAATTTTTTTTAATATCACTTTTATTCATCAAAAATATACATCAGAACACATTAAAATTCATATGAAATTGAGTGAATATAAGGAAACGAAAACCCCAGACTTGTCGAATTAAAAAACACGCAGGGGGGTGCCACAAGACAAAAACATCAAAAACAAAGAAACACAAGGAAAAAAAAGAACAATAAGACAGTTCATCGTCGAGGACCAGGCGTTCCCCTGGCCAGAAGGCAGTGAGATACCGAAACTAGATGTTGAATAGAGGCGGGTTTATCCAGGTGGGTTCATCTCTGGCGTAATAAATGCTATAAGACGAAACTATGGCAATTTTTGAAATTTTGTTTATAAAAGGCTTAAATGATATGGGACAATTAATAGATTTATGGATAGTTTTGAGGCGTTTATTGTTGTCGTCAGAGATAAACCCCCTTGAACTCACCTCCAGAGCAACAAAATCGACCTTGAACCCAGAGCCGAGGATGTATGAGACCAGTGGGGCATATTTATTAGTTTTGAATGTGTGGGCATTATCTTACATTTATTCTTTTCCCTTTTGAAATGTTTTGAGACTCATTTTTGTTATTCCCTGAATCAGATGCCACAGCAAGAACTTGATAGCGATAGCTCTCCACCTGCCAACTGGAGGAAATAGTCACAAACGAATCCGTTCTTTGCATGTACTTGATTGGGCCAGGGAGAAGAAAACCAGGAAGAAAGCGACTAAATGAAAAGCTCTCTTGCTCGAAGAACGACACTGTTCCATCCATGGATTGCACACACAGGAATTCCTTACCTAAATACAATAACAATTTGTATAAACCAACCAGGGCTACAGAATGGTTTACTCAAATGCAACAGTCTTAAAATTGAAAGCCTTAGGTAAAAGACCATAATGAATATGGTATTGAAAATAATATATGATGCAAGCATAAAAAAAAGGTGATTTGTAGAAAGAGTAAATTAAAAAATGAATAAAAACTGTCTACATCTACAGAAATATATAGCATCATTTAAATTGTAGAAACTATATTTTTTTAAATCAATAAACTGATCCTTGAACCATCATTAGGCCAAAAAAAATTTGTTTGTTTGCCCTCCTCCACCCGCCCCTAACTCACTGAAAAAATAGGGGCGGAAAAACAAAAAAAAAACTTTTTAGCTTTTTTCTTTACAAATTAAAAAAAATGTGAGTGAATTTATCTTTACTTTTTGCCAGATGCCCTAGAAATTAGTGTAAAGTTGTTGTATGATGTATGATTTTGCCATTCTAGGCCTCTGTGGGTTATTCTTATTCCATCTGATGAGTATCTTTAAATAAAAATAAATAAATAAAAACTTTTTCCACCTGCCTCTATTTATCATTTTTAAAAAAAGAAGGGCAAACAAACAATTAATTTTTTTTGGCCTTATCAGCACTACCACCATATCCACCATCATCACTACCATTATCATAACCATCATAATTATCACCACCATCATGATCACCATGACCATTTTCGCCACCAATATCATCATCACCACCACCAGAATACCCACCTTTCACACCACCAAAGTTGCCTTTAGTCATGTTACACGAAGTTCTCTGTAGGTTATGTTCATACATGGCATTCAGTTGGTAATGGCTACCATGTTCAACAGCCCCTTGTGACCCTAGTTCACATTGAAAAGACAAAAAATACCTTAACAAAAGCCAAATTCTGTTCTAAGGAAACAATTTAACGATTAATTACTTATTAAGGTAGACATAATTGAAGCAAACTTTATTCAGGATCCCAGCTGTAAAAATAGTAAATAACTTTTTAATTATTTTATGCCAATTTAAAATTAACATTACAGTATTATTTACCTGATAAACTGTACACTGCTAGCTTTCTTGGGTGTAAAACTGCTAGGTGAATTCCTTCTGATGCTCTGTATATGATAATTACCAATAAATTTAATGATAGAAGCGAAAATATACACTAGTTACAAATAATAACCAGTGACAATAATGAATTTATAACAATTAACCACCACTACTACTGCTACTAGTATTACTACTACAACCACCACCACTACTAATACTACTAATAAAGAATAAAAACTCTCTAATATTACAGACTTTAAATAAAATCTAGTATATTTCGATGATGTTTAAAATCTGGTATAACAGTAACACTAACAATGAAATAATAATATTACATATAATCATATAATAATCATACAGACATTCATATAATCAGTGCCATAATATCAAAGCAGCTTAGCTCAGTCGGCTAATCTGGTGGTAGCCACTGTGTGTGCGCTGAACCGTGGAGATCTCTAGGTCCCCGGTTCAATTCCCATCGCTGCCTCTCCTTGTGTTTCAGCTAGAGGGCTGAAATACAAGTTACATAGCGCACCGTCTTTCGGATGAGACGTTTAAGCCGTTTGTCCCGTGTGCATTTATGACCCATGTGCATGTTAAAGAACACAGTACACTCTTCGGAAAAGAGTAGGGGATTGTCTCCTGGTGTACTGTCCAATCACCACCAGAAGGACCCCACTGGAAACAAGTCTTCTTCTAGACTTTTGTGGGCTATCCTTGGTGTTACACCGAATAAATCCAATCCAAAAGTAATCATATTTTTATCATAATTATTAATATTATCATAGTATCATTTTCACAAACACCTCGATAAGGCATATGGTTTACATACGAAACAAACTGTCCAGTTTCCAGGCCAAGAATTGGCTGAGGTAACTGCATTTCCAGAAGCATGCTTTGCCCTTTATCATCATCAGCATGTGATTTTGGGTCATATATCCGCACAATTCCATTCAAACTGCCAACTATTACTTTATCTGTCATGTAAATAAAGAAAAAGTATTATTAGGACTATAATAAGCACATTATTAAATATATGATAGCATCAAATTATTATTATCAAGCATTTTTAAGTATTTCATCAGATGACAGTTTGAGAATCAGGTGTAAAATCAGTTGACACTGTTGTAGAATTAAACAATTTTCAGCATCAGGAATATTTGGAGTATCAATTAGGCAGTCGTTCATAAAGATTAAGCAAATCAGCAGTGATTTTGGTAGTCTATAGGTGGATATACCAATTATTATTTCTTTTAAGTAGAACACCCCTAATAGAACATAAATCCCTCGGCTTTGCATGTCCAATCCAATGCTCAAATGTCTGTTCTCATCAGGTTAAAATATTCACAAACAGACAACCAGTAGTTCAGTAGATGAAAATTAGTTTTAAAATTGTAAATTAGCTAGATGATATATCTAATCACAATACTAAGAAAATATTAAACTAAGTTGTTTATAATTTATTTATAATTTTTACAATCACAATGTCTTAATTGACTTTTGAAATTGTTTATAAATCTTTTGTTATCATGATTAATTACATGTAACATGGTAAATAGATCATTAAGAGGGATCTGGCATATATCGGTTCATCCAGGTAAGTATTCAAGAAATAGACACATCATTTTTCTGCTGCATATAATTTAGGTGTGTTAAACTATGTTTTTTGTGCAAATAATATATATTTCTTTGTAAATAATAAAAATTTGATGTATATTCACATGGCCTTACCGTGAGTAGGATGCTTGTTGTCTATACATGCAACGCAAAGTGAACCTTGATCAAACACCTCATCTGAGCCTACTTTGGCTGACCACCAATCGCGTGCCTTGAAAAGCGACATTTTACCCACGAAGATCTGTAAAATACTGTAGCAAATTAGAGTGCCATCAATTGACAAGGCTATAAAATAACATCTCCCCTTGACTGGTCCTGTAGGTAGACTCGATATAATTTTAGGTAGGTAGGTCCTAACTAGGCTTAAGATTAAGCCTATAGGCTTATTATATTATTGTATAGCCTAGATAGTGGCTATGCTTATGCTGAGATGGATGTAGTGCATTAAGATAGCGAGACTTATTTTGAAGGTTTTAATTAAGTCGACTAATCAGCGTCACTTAGGATTTTACTCACTTCGGCGTAGGCCTAAATTGTAAGCATAGGCCTAATTAGCCACGGCCTAATATATAAATAGAAATTCAATAAGCCTTGCCTATACTATACTAGGGCATGTTTGGGCATAGCTTAGGCCTAGATAGGCTAGGCCCTATCTACGCCATGTAGTTATTAGTATAAAAATATCTATTTTTGTATTCTTACCGCACCTAGGCCTATGTTAATTATTTTTGTTTTAACAAAAGTCCAGTTAGCAACTTTCTTCATAGCAGCATATATGATATGCAGATCTAAAGGCGCTATGTTTTATGTCCACCAATTCTTGGCTAGACCTACCTAGCAAGGTCATTGGCTAGCCGTAGGATACACGTCCAGGGCCGGGGACGGATTAGTTATTCGCGCCGAGTACGTACGACGATCAAACAAGTCTTGTTACAAGAGACAGAACTCTAGCCTAGGCCTAGTCTTACTCGGCCTGAAAAAGTTATGTATAAAATCATCATCCTAGTTATAGCTATTAAATCGTTGTTTCTATCAAGGTTGGATGAAGTCCTAGAAAACTTACATTACTTCAAATGACTCGAAAAATGTTTAGGTCATATAATTTGGTTTAATTTCGTACGTAATACATTGCTGTTGTTGATGTAATAAAGGCTAAAGCGTCCTTCGATACACAGAACAGCACCTCCAAAAATCCAGGAAAAAATGTGCGTCTTTGTAACGTCAGAATGTAGACTAAAAATTATCTTTCACCGTTAGAGGGCCTACACCATTATTTTTGTTCCTTTCCTTCTCGCTCGTTCTCGTAAACTATAAAATCTTGATTTCTGATTCGAATCGTATATAGGTAAGTGTTGTATGCCTAAGTATTTGTAAAGCATCCACTTATACCAAAATATAGCAAGGTAACATGTTGACCGATGACAGTAGAAAATAATAGGCCTTGGACTCTCCTTAGGGAGGCCTATGGCTCCTCCTAGGCTAGGCCTAGGGGCCTAGGCCCTACGCTAGACTAGGCTTTTGGTTGGATGGGCTACCTTCAACTTGGTATTCAGTGGCGGCTCCTCAGCAGAAGGGAGGGAGAGCAGGGACAATTTCATGTCAGTCCGCCAGCTGGACAGCTGAAGCTCATCGTCGGCTCATTAGATTTAGAAAAAAACAAAAATATTGTGTTCATAATATCAATAACATGTTTTTGTCGTAATTGTTTAAGTTGTCACAGAACAGCTTACAATAATGGCCTACCAAAAATATTTGACTTTTATTTGTAGTTTTAAGTAATTTTAGCAATTTTGAAATATTCAAGTTTAGTGTTATCTATCCTATTCAGTAGTGCATCACTATTGACAAAATGGGGAAAAATTTGCACAACTTTCAATGCACTTCTGCTGAGTGCAGAGTACATGCGCATATTTTTTGCCCCTTTGCACTGATTTTGGATAATAATATGAATTGAAATTCCCCATGTAACAAAATTGCATTCGTGTGACTGTCCTGTGAGTATTCAAGTTCCTTGATGTCAAATCCCAACTGCAGGATCCTTTTGAGCACTCAACATAAATGTTCTGAATTTCAAATCCTGGCTTCCTAGCCATGCCTTGAATGAGATTCACAAACTGTAAAAGACCCGAACCTTACCACTTATTAAATTACACTTTTTCCGAATTTAATAAGAATTAAATTCGGAATTTTAATTAATAATTAATTTTTAAAAAAATAAATAATGGGGCTGCTGGACAAATTAAAAAAAAAAAAATTTTAAATACACTCATCATCATACAACTCAAAGAGGCTTAGAATGGCAATATCTTACATCAGACTAATTTGTAGGGAATCTGGCAAAAAATAAAGATAAATTCACTTAACTTTTTTTTCATTTGTAAACAAAAAAGCTAAAAAAACCACTTTTTTTTAATTTTTATTTTTCCGCCCCTGTTTTTTTCAGTGAGTTAGGGTCGGGTGGAGGAGGACAAACAAACAATCTTTTTTTGGCCTAATTTCAGAGTCACTATACACAAGAGTTGAAATAGAACAAAGAAAACTTGCTGTCTCATTAACTTTCTTACTGCATTATATTCTTTAGTTTTTTTTTTTTTGTAAAAGATTTTAATAAAGCAGCCTAATTACCAAATCTACAGACACTCTACAAAACTAATAAAAACTGAGGTTGCCTTCTTTTGTCAGATAAACATCTTTCAGTCTTGGTTTCCAGCCAGCGATGGCTCTAGTTGTTTATAAGCCAGGGTTTCTGGATGCATTTCACAAGCAAGAACGGCGATTCAAATTTATGGAAAAAGAATTAATAATTAAACAGGCCTGGGAGAAACATGGAGTCGCTGCAGTTGTTTGGGATGCTGTAAGTAAAATATTGGATGCTTAACAAAATACTTTGTATATGAAGTAAGTTTGTTAGCTTTCATTTGAAAATTATGATAAAAAAATGTTCTTGCAATTAACAGGCTGTTGTTTTAAGTGAGTATTTGGAAAGCAGTGTACAGGCTGGTGAGTTAAGACTGGACGGGAGCAAGCTGTTGGAGCTTGGTGCAGGGACTGGACTAGTTGGCATGATGGCTGCGTTATTGGGTAAGCGCATACATAGAAAAATTCTTGTCGAGCCACAGGGCATAGGGCTGGAGCTTATCCCCAGTTCCAAGTACCGTGAAGCAGATAAGAGCTTGATGCTCCCGGGTGGTACCCTGGTCCACCGCACATTACTCCCAGTAATGTGCTGGTGCCCATTAATACAGCTGGGTATACGGAAGCAATGTAGATAAAGTGCCTTGCTCAAGGACACAAGCGAAATGCACAGCGAAGGATTGAAACCCCAACCTCGAGGGTTGGGAAACCAAACCATTTCCACTGCATCAAACTGTATACATTATCTAGAAGAATTGCTCTCTCAAACATTAATGTTAAAGCTCGGTTTCCATACTATCGCTACAGCATTTTCACTAAAAAGAATACAAAAGTGCTTGGCAACCAATACGCGCTCATTTTGACGTGCTACTCCGATTTCACGAATTAGCACAATCTACTTTGATTGTATTACTTTGTGATGTGAGCGACGAATTATAAAATGTGCATTTTTAGTGCCTAACACAACATAATTTTTTATTATTTATTTAATTTTACATATACATTGGTCTCTTATGCTGAGTACTGCACTAGACTCCACTGGTGAGTCGAGTGGCCAAGGGGTAAGGCAGGAACGCCGCTAATTACAGCCTTAACATCAGCGCTGGTTAAGTTGGTAGAACCAAGTGTTCTTGGATAAGGACTTAAAATGGAGGTCCAGTGCTTTTATGCACTTTAAAGAACCCATTGTATCTTTTGGAAGAGTAAGGGGTTACCCCGATGCTATGGTTCTTTTCAGCCTCTGTCGTGTGGAATGATGAGAACATGTAGCTAATTTAAGCCGCTCTTTACGGTGGTTACTGTAGGTACTCACAGACCACGCCAATACACAATTCAGCACAATGATGCTACGAGTTATGGGTTATTCTCCTACTTTTAGCCTTTACCTTTTATTACAGTAAAATTAAAGTTATGCTACAGTAATAACAGTAATGTTAACCTTTATGTATTGTAATTCAATAGAATATTTTTTAGTAGCTTACTTTTTGTCTTTTACTAGTAGGCATATAGCACACTCCTTTTCAATTTAAGCACTTTTTCAAAATATCTTAAATATTACTTTAAACAAGCTATTATATTTTTCTTTTTTAAAACAATTGGGCATGTTAATGACTTTCTTCTTGCATTTTGGCTCTCGATTTTTATACTTATATATAGGCTATGTTCTCACACGGCTGCTAACGGTTAGCAGGATCCGGATCCTGCTAACCATTAGCTGCCGTACGTCCATACGAGAAAATCCCGATCCGGATACCAAAAATATGATGATCGAATCACTGGCCAATAAGAAAATGGAAATTGTAAGCGCATATGTGTGATTGGTTGATGATAAAAACATGCTCACTTGCTAACCTGTAATCCTGTAGTCTGTAATTTGCTAACCTGTAGTCTGTAATTTTGTTCTTTTTTATGAGACAAGTTGAATGAAAATGAATGCAGAGCCAAATAGAAATCAGTTCTACACTGTTTAGGCTTATCCGGGATATATAATTGTAATAAATAAATAAATCTCTTATTCCATCTTAAATTTGTCTCAGTGTAATTCAATTTTTAGACTTTATGTCTGATGTTTCTGCTGCTTTCACTTTTCTAAGTGTAATTTACCATTCTTAGAAAAATCACTTAATCAACTTATAAATATTGCAGTACACCGTGTAATGAATTAGTACTATCTTTTCACAAACAGTGATTTTATATAAAGTTAGTGATGATTGATGTGCTCTGTAATATACAGAACTCCTAGTGTTCTTGTAAAAGCAAATTTATTTATTTTGTTGTTGGCAATCAAAAAAAACCCAAAAAACAAAACAAAATACTACTAGTACACAATATAAATTTGGAAAAATGGTATATAGGAAATTAACTAGAGGGTAAAAAAAAATACCTTCTTAAATTAGATGGTATTGTATACCACAAACATGTATTGACTTATTATTTGCCAAAATCTGAATTTAGATGTTCTTAAAACAATATCTCTATGTTGAATTAATAAACTATTTGAATGAATCACTTTGTATGATTAAAAAAGTTACTTTCAATTGAAGATTAGAAGAAGAAATTGTTTTCCTTGTCAATTAACAGACATGTATAAATAATGTTGTGATATTTGCATAGACTCTTAAATTTGATTGGCTGGCCAGGCAATCAATTTATGCATGGTAGTAAAGGTAACTCAGCTAAAAGTGAATTGCTTCTATCTGTGCCATATTGAAAGTGCATAAATCATTTGAACCTTTTTAATTATTAATTTTTTTGTTTTGATATAATTAAATATCACAATTTCTATTATTTTCAGGTGCAAAGGTCACACTCACTGATCGATTAGAAGTTATTGATAGTCTCACTGTGAATGTTGAAAATAATTTTAGAGATGGCAAGACCAGTATCACTGTGAAAGAGCTCGAATGGGGGAAAAACTTGGAAGATTTCTCTGAAAAATATGACTTTATAATCGGTGCTGATATAGTATACATTAAAGAATCATTCACAGCCTTGCTTCACACCTTGAGTGAACTTAGTCAACCCAACACAAAAGTACTATTGTCTTGTCGAATTCGATACCAAAAAGATTTAGATTTCTTAAAGATGCTGAAGAGTAAATTTTCAGTGGATGAAGTCCATTTTGATAAAACAAAATGTATTCATATTTATTTAGCGAAAAAACTTTTCGAAAACACATAAGAAAAATAATTTAACATTGTTTGTGTTTATTTTAAAGTAATGTATTGTAAATGTTTGTTTATTGATACAAATCATAAATTTCATATGTTTATGATGAAAAAATCTATTATTTTATGGTTTACGCATGCTTTATACAGTAACGCCAATAAACTTTTATATTGAAAATATAAGGTGTTTTATTATTTTTTACCTGTTTTCACTTAGTTATGCTTTTCGTGAATACTTACTTAAGTAATAAACTGACTATTGCATTTATTCTCTAATTACAACATCTCTTGAAAATAGTAGATTGTCTACCACATGTGCATCCTCTTTTTTGAAAACTGCACATCCAAAATTCTCTGTCTCATGATTGGCTGAGAATCAATGGCGTATCTAGGGCGTGAGCCCCTCCAAAAATTACTCGCGGCTCCCAGTTCCCCCCCCCAAAAAAAAAATAATCACTTGCAAGTAGTTAAAAATCACCTTATTTTGCGATTTAGCGCCTCTGAACTGATCATTGACCCTTCCCCCCTCCACCCACTTCAAAACTTCTAGATGCGCTACTGCTGAGAATGACCTTTCAGGAGTGTAATCAAACTTAACTCCCGACCAATCAGAACATGGCGAGGAATATGTGTGTGTCTAAGAAACACTTGTGGTAGTCCCACAAACGCTTGTGTTTTTGTATGTTATAACACTGTCATTTTGTAGGACCAGCAATCAACAATATCCAATATCCAAGGGGCGGGGCTTAGCGTAAAGGTCCATTAAATGAATAACCTTTAACTTTTTAACCTTTAAAACCTAACTTAACCTAATATCTCTAAACACACACACTGACTATTGCAATGCACTGAATCATGCCATTGTCATGTGAACTCGAGGGCTTAAGCTTCCACCCTACGTCCTAGACTCCATTTGAAAACCTGCCAAGTAAAAAAAAAAATCACATACCATTTTAATTCTTCCAGATAGCTCCCCCTCCCATAGCAACCTATCAAACCATCCCCTTGTCAATACTCTACTAGAGGAATTACCACTTAAATTTAGTAGCATTTCACAATTGGTGTTTCGATTTTCTAAAAATAGAAAGGCTTTAAATTAAGATTATTCTTGAAAGCGTTTATATTAGTGCTCTCCTTAAGTCGATAGGTAATGTTTTTTCACACTTGGAAATGAGGAAAATGCTGCCAAAAATTTAGTCTTGGTTGTAAGAATCTTGATGGTAACAAATATTGGATAAAGTTACTTGTATAGTTTGCAGCAGAATATTTTAAGCTTTGAATTTCATTTTGTGATATTATACTAGTAACCTCTTAAGATAGGGTTAAGTGATTCCGACTCCTGTATTTTGCGATCTTTGAAGATGCAAACAGAAAGTACCTGTTCATTAGCAAAACATCACCACAATAACAGACCCAATTCATCGAGCCTTTATGTTATATAAGGGAATGAGAGCTCTTATTTCACAAATGTGCTATGAAAAATACTTGTGATTGATCTTTTGGAAGGATTCATTTTCTTGATATTCAGTTGAAGGCAAAGTAACTTATCAAAAAGAACATGATTGCTGATGTCACAAGTTGAATAGTGTTTAGGAGTGATGTTTTGCCCTACCTGACGTTATCGTACCGAATACTCAGTACGTTCCCAAATACTTGCGAACAAATTCGCAAGTGATTCGGGTGGGAATCGAACCCACGACCTACAGATAACTACCCTGGCGCCATAACCACTAGACTTCCGAGCTTGCGCTTAGTGACTAGTGTTGATTGGTACAGGAATCAATGTTGTAGCTGAAATGCTTACAACTTGATTTCCTCTCTGGTTCTCTTCCTCTCCTCTTGATAATAGTATTCGATCTGCGTGTTTTACCTGATTGATTGAATTATTCAATCGCTAGTTTCATCCTCTTTACCCGTTATAGGCCTAATATTTATTTAAACTGTTTACCCAAATTATTATCGTATCGATGTATGCAATTATTCAATTATTAACCAGTATAGTATTGATTTGATAAATTATTTACCCGTTTTCTCTTTACCTCAAGTTATTGTTTTACTTTAACAAATTCTTAAATATCTAGTACCATATTTATTTGTTATTTAATTGTAATAATTTGATCAGCTATTTACTCTTCCTTTTCTCTTTGGCTCAAGTTTCTCTTTACCATTCGCAAGTCATTGTTGTACCATATTCGACACTTATTCAAAGTTGAAAAACATTTACACAAAATATATGGTATTATGATTTTACTATAATTGTTGTAATATTTGTGTGTACAAAAATAGTATTATTTCTATGCGTGCTTTGAAATTTTTAGTATAGGTACTTCAGTTTTATCTTTCAATCATTGGAATGACTTTATAAAATATACACTTTACATCGTGATGTTCAGATGTTGTAAAATGGACATCCTTATTTGTTGATTAAGTGCACAACGGCTGTCAACATAAATACATCTATTATTTAGGTTAGGTGAACCATTCTTCGACATTGTTGCTAAAGAAAAGAAAACTTTCATATTTTATTTTTCAAATTGCTTTTTTTCGCTTTTTTCATTCTTATATAGCTGCTGGTTGAATGAGAACAAAGTACTTCAATATTATTCGTAAAGTCGCCGGAAGCAAAATGACATATCCATTTTTAGAGGACTGGGATACGATAAAATTCATGCAGAATTCTCGTGTTATGGTCTTCCTCAGTGGTTTTGGTACAAAAGATGATGAGCAGAGTTCACTGTCAAGAAAAATCATCGATAGATTTCCAAAATCATCGATAAATTTACAGTTTTCTAGTAAAGTGTGTAAGCCTCTTCACAAAGCTATTAAGGATAACGTTCAGACAATCGTCATCGACCATGCTTCAGACGACGTTGAACACATGCAGCAGATTTATACAGTTGCCCATGAAAACAGTTACATCGAATTAGCACTAAAGGCTGATTGTAAGGGGATTTCAAGGTATCGAGCCATTGTTCCGACTTTTTATGGTTGGTTTTTGAACTACGACGCTTCTCGGGAAGTGAGGGAGAAAGGTCAGTCGCTGCTCTTAGACAGTTTTGCAGTCAAAGAATTTGCTGATGACTTTAGAAAACAAATTGACGATTCTCCTAAAGGTGAGCTTAACTGTATGTTATAATCTGTCTCGGCAAAATGTAGCATGATTATTTTTTTCCATTTTATTATAATTTTTGTAATGGATATTTTTTTAGGTATCCACAATAATTTTGTTATTACTGTAACCTCCGTTTGATTGCAAACATTACTTTGATATTGTGATTAATTGATTATTCTTTTCATTAAATAGATTTGCAAGATCATTTCAGTACGAAAGAGCTTGACGTTGGTGGCACAATGCTTCACTGCACATCCCTGCACTATACAAGGGATGGATTCGAACAGTATAATGAACGTGTAGGTCCATCTGTTGGCCGTGTTTATCAGATTGAGGTCATTGGATTTTTGATAACGCCACGAACATTTGGTGCTCGGCTCAAACTCGACAAACATGCCAAAGAATTATGGGAAAATGGTGACATACCCTGTGGATGGGAACCATCTAAATTCTCACCTACTAATGGTAGTGCCAGCAAAGCTCACTTGACGTTAGAGACTGGTCCAGGAGTACAGGCGCTTCAAACTGGTCTGGACTTGGCAGATTTGGTTAAACTGGAAGTTAGAGCACAACATGAGGGTAAAGGCGATAGGATCCCAATGTACAACATTCAAAATGCTACACTACGTAACTATGGTAAAGGCCAAGCTATGGTTTACCTCAATGAACCTATGCCTTTTTCATTTTTGTTTTCTGGCTACAATCTGAAGAAATGATCAGCTCAATCATTACAATAGTTGAGACTATGAATTCTTAGTTTCACGACCACATTAGAGAGAATCCTTTAAGATACAGGTAAACTCTAGCTGTAGTTGAAATACAGTTTACACCATGTTTACAGAATTTAGGCCTTTTTCAGAAAAAAATAAAAATTCATCACCATTTCAACTCATGATTTCCCCGTTTTCAAAACATTAATTTTATTCCTTTATCAGAGCAAACAATTTGTCAAATTATCAACGAAACTGAATTGTAAAATTATTGAACAATTATTTTGCTAGTAATAGATTATTAGAGGAAAAATATATAAAGGTAAGATTAAATTAGTTGAAATTTGTTCAGGTATTCAATGAAAAATCATCCTAAAATAAATCCAAGACAAACTTAACACAACAAAACAGACATAAATTATAAATATAGACTTTCATAAATTATTGCTTGAGGAATCGAAAACTTTGACATTAATCCGATTCTCGAAATTTACAAACTGTTTGCTAGCTAAGAACTTCCCGAATGCTCTCTCTCTTCCCTTCCCTCTCTTCGCCCCTAAGGGTCCCTTCGTGTCTGTGCTACCTGGTAACCCGGTACCAGCAACTCTCGTCGTCCACCACAGGGGCTGTCTGTATCACCTTATTTTAATCCAAAATACGTTTGCCGTTCATTCAACTCAAACAGTTTTGTAGTTATACTGTATATAGTTAAAGTTTTTTGGAAATACACACATTAACATTTTCCAAAATTTCAATTTACATTTAGTGGGGTAGTCTCATATATATAGTATCATAAGTTGATGTAATATTATCAAGCCACATTCATTTTGCTGTATCTGTTAAAAATACATACAATAATTTTGAGCTTATTGATAATGGTGGAATTATTAGGTCATTTAGTGTATCTTTGCGACCGCTACGTAGTTAAAAAATATATAATGTGTTAAAGGTAAACCAATTTCAACAATAAGAACGAACTGCAATAATAAACTGAATGTTTTGACAAATTCTTAACATCGTCTGGATTGTAGTGCCTCACAAACAACAATAAGAATGAAAGAGACATATTAGAGAAGTTTTCAACTTTTTGGCTTCAACAATATTGTAGCACTTTTAGCTGATTCTCATTCTCATATCACAACATTTTACAGTATGTACTTTACAAAAATCATCAATAATACTGTAGTATGTTGAAAAATAATATTAACTGATTAACGTTAACAATTATAATGACAACAAAAATAATGTAAATTTTTTATTGAAACTGTTAAATTAAACAGAAGAAACACAATGACTTTTTTTTGGCCGGTTGGGATCAGCAGTTAATGACATACCGCAAAACCTCGGATAGATATAAACCCTGGGCTTCTTTTTTTTCTGTGAACTTTGGATGGGTTTCTTTTCGAGATGGGCTTCTTTTTGAGATGGGCTTCTTTTTGAGACTACTTTTGCAAAGTGCAGAGCGGGGATTCTTTTCAAAATGAAAGCTGTAAATTTTGGGATTTACTATAAAACAATAAATAGGGCCACTGTAACATCAGTTATTGGAGTGTATTAACCGGCATTACATCACCTAAACTATAGTGTCAACCAAGCGTGTTGTTAATTTATTTATTTTTTTTAATTTCATGTACAGTGTATGTACTGTACTATCTCGAAAAGAAGCCCATGCTATCTTAAAAAGAAGCCCACTGGCTTCTTTTCGAGATGGGCTTCTTTTTTAGGCTACTTTGCAAACTAAGGGTGGAGTGGGGAGGGGCTTCAAATCTTGACTTCTCAAGATTAAGCTCTTTGGGCTTCTATTCAAGGTTTTATGGTATGGTTCTTCGGTCACTGCTGGAATCACCACTAGATATCAGAATTTGAATGTCATGCATGTCACATGTCAAAATCAAGATTGCATGATTGTGTGCAGTGTAAATTTGTAGGAACGAATAACGAAAATAATGTTTGTATTCGTTTTCGTTAAAAAACGTCTGCTATGTATATGTAATGTTATGTGGGAAACGTAGTTGTGTTTTCCAAACAGACATGCGCCAAAATAAAGGCTTCAACACCAGTAGAATGTTGTCTTTTTTCCACTTTACTCACCGATATTCTACACATTATAAATTATATCTATATGTATATGTAGTTGTACATTGGAGGTAAACATGAAACTTTTAATGATTTATAAAATCCCATAGAATGATATAACTATATATACTGTACATATTTTTCACTGCATTTTCACTCAATTCATTTCACTCAAGAATATAACTGCTCCGAATTTGCAATATATTAGTTTATACAAATCCATATACACCTATCCATTATATGAAGCTTGTCAATTGACATGTAATGAAGTTAAAAGTCAGCCATGTTGTAATATAATCTAAACAAGGTTTCAATTTAATAGAACCACATACATTCAACAAATATAAAGTTTATTATTTATACACCTAAATTTACTATAAATATAGTCCGAAATGTGATGCAGTCATTACAAGGCAATTGGAAAATGGCTAGTAGGCTTATAAGTATATACAATCTGACGAATTTATACCCTGAACTTATATTACCAACGATTATTTAAGGTAGTTTCTAAGTTAATAATTATATGGAATAGTCTACTAATTTACATTTCGATGAGGTTGTGACTTCGAAATACTTGTTCGTTTTCACATTTGTTCCAGTTACTTTAGCGCTGCCTTGTATAAGAAAAGGATACGTAATAATGAACATCCGTATTATTTTTTTTTCAATTAAGAGAAGGGGTTCATAACTTGCAAGTCCTATTATTACTGAAGGAAGCGTCTGCCTTGTCCAAAGACGACGTTACATTGTTCTTTTTGCGCACCGCCGGGTCGTTACGATCAAGCGTAAATTTTCTTCGATTTGTTTCCCCTCTGTCGAGGCTGTGCATCCGAGTTGTACCTTCACACATATTCTCTAAGGGTTTAGATAGGCTTTCTGTGCTTTTTCCTACATCCGACGAACGCTCAATTTCGCTTTCGGAATGGTAGCTCTGTGTACGTAGGCTAGGGCCTCGAGATAACTTGCGAGTGTCTCGCCATCGCTTTCCCGCGCTTCGTTTTTTGGAGGGAATGTGTGGGTTGTTTTCCTTCATCGAATGTGTCTTGTAAATTTCAAGTTGTGTATACAACCTTCGTAGTTCTTCCTGAAACAGAAAATAAATTGATTGTAAAAAGATTGAATTCAAATAAACAGGCCCCCTTCCAACAAAATCAGATTTGTTTTAGGCACCTACAGTATTCCAGGTTTTATTATTGCACGGCTTCTAAAAAGATCAGGAGCATGGGTTATTCTGTGTATGTTTCGGTACAAATAAACAGGAAACAAATATGCCATGACAGAGGTGTAAAAAAAACAAACATAGAGAAAACCTACGAAAGTTTCTGAAGTGATAGATTTCAGTCAGAAACGATAGTAGGTTTTCTCCAATAAAGTGGTCTCTACTTTTGTTCTTTCGCAGTTCGTCGAGAATTGCAAATAGTGTGAAATCAGTTGCTTTAAATTGGATTAAAATTCTAAACAAAGCCACAGTGGGATAAGGACGTCCCTGGCTCGAGTTCTAGTTGGG